CAGTTACCATCTAAAATTACATGGGAAATTGAACCTGTAACCCTTAGAACTTTCACATCACTAGACCAAAAAATTTTATGCATAATACAAATATATAATGCTTATGAAAATCACGAGTATAACTCCAGTTTCAACCTCAATTGAGTATATCGTGAATGAAGCGTCCTAAATAAGAATAGGAAGAGCCACCCTCCATTAAAGCCCTCTTACTCATCTCGCTCATCTCCTTCACTTTCTTCCTCACTTCACTCTCTTTCTCCATAACTTGTTTTATGCCTTTCTCTATTCTCTCTGCACTTATCACTTCCGATTTGCTCACATCACCAAACTCCATCCGATAATCCAATGAGATCTCCACGCCCAGTTTCAGCTCACGTGCCAGCTCGAATGCATTCAATTGTTGCTCCGAGTAAAGTGGCCACGTGGCAATGGGCACTCCATAATATGTGCTCTCCAGTATTGAGTTCCACCCACAATGCGACACAAAACCTCCCACCGCTTTATGGGCCAAGATTTGGGCTTGTGGGGCCCACCCAATCACTTTTCCACTCTTGGCCGTTCGCTCTAAGAATCCCTCCGGTAATACGTCTTTAGGGTTAGAGCAATCACTTGGCGCTTCAAGAGGCTTCGGTGTGGGCTTCTGTAAACGGAGAGACCACACAAAGTGGACCCCACTTCTTTCAAGAGCACGTGCGATTTCTATCACTTGATCATCGTCGTCGAAACAACCCATACTACCGAAGCACAGGAATAAAACCGACAGAGGAGGCTGACCATCGAGCCACTCTATAACGTCCGACCCTCTTTGAACCGTCTCGCTCTCAGTCTCCCCTACACTTAAAATGGGCCCCACTGTGTAAACGGTAAAATCCGCGTTACGAAATGAACCAACCGCATGCGATTCAAGCTCCTCGAATGTATTTACTATAATACCCTTGGCTTTCTTTAACCTGCACGCATGAAGGTAGAAAAATGTCGCCCACTCCTTATCCAAGGCGGCGCCCGGAAAAACATTAGCCGGAACAAGGTTCTGGAAACTCGGGATGGCAAACTGCGCTCCGGAGTCCTTGAAATTTAACGCAGTCGTATCGACGTTTTCTCGTTCTCGAAGCGTGTGGATGTGAAGCATGTACCCAAGGAAAGCAGCACCCGCAGTGAAGAATCCCACGATTGGAACTCCGAACTCGTCGGCGACGTCAATCATGGTGGAGCAGTACATGTCGACCACGAATCCGGCGAGGCGAGGGGAGTCGGGGCCTGAAATGAGGGCGGAGACAGCTTGTCTGACGTTGAGTTTCTGGTTTTCAACAACAGAATCGATGAAGGAAGCTGGATTAAGAGACTGATTAGAGTTAGGGTCGTGGTTCGGATCAGGCAGGAGTATGAATTGGAGCTGTTTTGGGAAGGAAAGGGAAGAGGTGAGGGAGAGCGCGTAGGCCTCGCCGGCGGGGTCATACGGTGCTTTGATTATGAGGATGGTGACCGAAAGATTTCCATGGCGGTTGACGAGAACCTTAGCGAACTCGACGGTGGACGCTAGGTGACCCCTGCTTGGTAAAGGCACAAACACTAGCTGCGATTTCTTCATCTGATGTGTGTTTCAGGTGAATGATGAATCAAGGTGCCGAAAGCAATCTTGCAGGTAACGAAGTTACGAGAAAGGAAAAAAGGGATTGTGAGATTAGTTAACGAGATCTACGTCGCTTTTTTAATCTGTCCCAAGAAACGTCCGCATTCCGTGCTAATCACGACTGATGAGCACGGCGTGCTCAGCACTCAAAAGCGAGCAGTATGGGATCTTAGGCTATTTTTTCTGGGTTATGCTCATCACCTACTGGTTAATTTGAGCCGTCAGATTAAATCTGGACGGTTTATATTTAATATTATTAAATAATTATTTTAAAATAAAAAAATTATATTTTTAAAGAATGATCGTTATGAGATTATTTTTATTTTTTATTTTATACATATTAAAATAATTATTTTTAAAAAATAAAAATAAAAATAAAAATAAATCTGGACAATCTAGAGGAGTGATATCACCTGATGAGCACCTAATACAAATCTTTTTTTTTTCCCACCTTTTTGGGTTTAAGGTTTATTTAAAAATATTGTGTTTTATTAGATATTTTTTCCAGGTGTGCCCATAACTTAAAATATTTCCTGATGCAATTATTTAACACCCTAAATTATTTTTTAGGCAAGTTCAGCATTCTAGAAATAATTTTTGATTTATCTATCACCTTAAAATATTTTGTCAAACACATATAGTATCTTAAAATATTTTATGATTCATCTAGCCTTTTTAAAACATTTTTCAAATACATCTAGTATTTTTTTTTAAATGCACATGAAAATTTTTTTAGAGTATTGGATGAAATTTAATCCAAAAATAATTTTAATATATACTATATCCGATTTTTAATATAAGAGTTAGTTGGTTAATTTAAAGAGATTAAAAAACTAATTAAATTAGTTATTTGTAATAAATAAACGTTATCTTTTCTAAAATATCTTTACTAATCAAATGTATTTGTTAAAACTATCATTATTATAATGAATATTTTAAGAAAAAATAGATAAATATGAGAGATAAAATAAATTAGAATTTATATTTAAAACCAAAATAAAAATCAAACAAACTCTTATATTAATATCTTATAATATATTTTTGTTGTGATGAACAAAAAGAGTAAAAAAGCAATAACAAAAAAACCGAGGTCCCACACTGCCAGCGTTTTGAGTGCTGAGAACGTGGAATGTGATTCTGTACGGATATAGAGAGGGGCCTGCATTCGGTGCTCATCACTTGATGAGCACCCAGTGCTCATCAAGTGATGAGAAATCTGGACCGTCCAGATCTAATCTGGACGGTCCAGATTTAATATTTTTAAATAATTATTTTAAAATAGAAAAATTATTTTTTAAAAGTATGATAGTTAAGAGATTATCTTTATTTTTTATTCTATACCTATTAAAATAATTATTTTTAAAAAATAAAAATAAAAATAAAATAAAATATGGATCGTCCAGATCCGATCTGGACCGTCCAGATCCTGATGAGCACTGGGTGCTCATCAGCTTGATGAGCACCCAATGCAAATCCGATAGAGAGAGAAGATATTAGGAATAAAAAAGTTTTTTAAAATAAAAAAAAGTGCTATTTGATTTTTTTTTCATTTAATATTCTTTTTGCCAAGAAAAGGGGAAATTCCTTCCTAATATTCTTTAAAAATAAAAAGAAATATTCTTTAAACGAAAACCTTAAAAAATATAAAACATAATTTGGGTTCTTTAATTTATAAAAAAGTTAATATAATTTTTTGTCTTTTAAATTTGCCTTCATTTTGGTTTCATCTCTTAAGTTTTAAATCACAGATTTTAGTCTTTCAAATGACAAAATAGTCTAAGTTTTTATTAGATTATAGAGATAAATGTTTTAAATAAAAAAACTTAAAGAACCAAATCTTATAATTTGGAATTTAAGAGACTAAAATTAAAATGAGGACAAACTTAAAATTTGTATTAACCTTTTATAAAATTAGACCAAATTTTAACTATTAATTATGAAATATTAGAAAACAAAAATACAAAAATGTCCTCTCATTACAAAAAAAAAAAATTCAATTACTGACAAAAGTCAAAATTACCGACGGAATTACTGACGGATTTGCGACGAACATGAATTACTGACGAAATTTCTGACGAAATCCATTCCATCAAAATTTTGAACATCACTAAATTTATTTGTGATAATTTCCGACACATTTGTGACAGAAATTCCGTCAAAATACCAATAGATTTTTGACAAGTAATCTCTGTCACAAATTTTGCGACGAAATATTCTGTCAAAAATTTGTCATTGAATCAGCACAAATTTGGCAATTTCAGTTGATTTTTTTAATTATATTTTGCTATTTTAATTTGATTAATCCTCTAGTTTTTTAAGAAGAAACGAAGGACAATTGAATTTGTCAAAAAAAAAAATCAAACATGCTATAATTAAAGATATATGTCTTTCACACATCTTGGATGTTTCAAATGTCAAATGTTAAGTAAAAGCTAGAAATAATAATAACAATTGCCAACTATCATTTCTTAAATTTATATTGCTATTAGAGGGCTTAGATAATCTAATTCCTATTCATTCCAATGCAAACATGATTTTGTTATAATTTTGTCTCATCTCTTGATGCTCTTGTCTAATTTGTTGAATCTCCTGTGTAAATTTTGTTATCCTCCTGCGCAATTCAGTTTCAACATTATTATTGATACTTGTGCTGTTGATGGAAGGAGAAGATCTCTACATACAAATATCATCATCAGTCTCAGATCCAAATCCATAGATGCGGCCCTTCTTGTTTTTACCACCTATAACATTTAACCATATGTTAAATTCTTCCTGATTAGATTGTACACTTGGAGAGCCTCCTTCAGAACTTAGTTCGGCCTTTCTCCTTATGAACTCATCCTATAAAACAAAAGGTAACAGGAGTATATGAGATAAGTATATGTTTTGGAAGGCAAGATCCTTTCAACTTAATCCCAACAACAACTAGATCAAGTTAAGTCTAAAAGAAATGAGTGTTATTTTTTTTTTGAAGACTAATTACCAAAAATAAAATTGCACTAAGAATAAAAAAATACCATAATTCATTAATTTCTAGCATATGATGACATATTCACCAATTCTATCAAATTGAATAATATGCAAATGTAACCCAAGTTTAGCAACGAAGCAAAGTAGATTGGAGAATAGCATGTGTATAGGTTATATAACTTCTAATAAGTCAGATGCAATAAATTTTTGTCTAACACTAGTGTGCCCTTAGAGAGTTAGCATAATCAAATTGATTTTTTATGATAAACATTCAATAAGACTCATAGCACAACTAGTCAGGTCTCTAGCCATCAGCACAATTTCAATGATCCAACATGTCAAATATTAGAAACATATACTCATATGAGCTGATTCCACTCACTGGTCTGCAAATTTTCTAGTTTTATCATTTAAATGTGTCATCTTGAACAATTCAAACATAGAAGGATCTCTTCCTAACTCCAAAGCCTGCTATTATTTACCAAAATGTATTATACATGCATTAAATAAATAATAATTTAATTTGAGGATAAATTCTTACCAGTCTCCTCTTATGCTCAGTATTAGAAATATTTCCACCTTTGTGTTGAGTGCCTCCTGTGGTTGAGGCTCGATTAGCCTTAACAATCTCACACTTAGCTTTATAATCTTCTGATACCCATATTCTCTCTAACTCGTTCATCACTTGACGCAAAATCCACTTAGCCCTAACTTGTTTTTTATACAAGTCTTGCCTACTAGTATGCATTGTATTTCTCAAAATTTCTGCACACTTTGCATTCCAAAATTTCTTAATAGCATGATCATATTGTGGCAACCATTTATATTTTCACTACATAAATGAGAAACAAAAGAAAAATATAAATTAAACATATGGAGAGGAAAAATTTGAAGACATAAAACAAATACAAATAGAAATAAGATTTACCGCCCATTCATCAAACAACACTTTCTTATATTTAGGCACTGGAACATGAATGGTCAAATTTTTCTTGAATAACATGAAGAATATTTCATACAATAGCAACAACAGAATTAAACCTAATAACAATTTTATACAAAATATCATTACAAATGCTGTTAGCTAGCATTAATATAATAAATTAAGATGTGAAATAATATAAACTTAATGGTGACTTTTGTTTTCTTTTTAGGATATATCTTTGTTCGACCATCTGAAGAATCATAACTTGATGGTGAAAAACTAGGAGGGGCCTGAGAAGTAGCGGGATACGAGTTTTCAGTTCTAAGAGATGGGATTTGAGGAGATGATGCTTGAGATGATAATAAGGGTCTATTATCTGACTGAGTCATAATTGGAGATAATCTATGGGATGATAAGGGTTTGCTATATTCTTCATTTATAGTTGGAGACCTAGTAGATGTTTCACCCATAGGTAGAGAAGATGTTTGAACAGGAAATTTGTTGAGTTGGTCAAATAATTATAGAGAAGATGAAGAGCTCAAGTGTACAGCACGCATATGAAAGTTTTGTTTCAATGAGGCATCATATGTTGGCACCCTTTCATCCCACAATAATTTTAATTTATCTATTAAAAGTTGCAGATATACATCTATTTTTCATTTGGGATTACTAGGACCAGGGATGATCACTGTCAAGAACATATATTCTCGTGTCATGCACATCTCAGGTGGTAGATTATATGGAGTAATAACCACATGCCAACAAGAATATTGTCTCCCAAATTACCCAAATAGCATAAATCCATCAACACATAACCCAAGCCTCACATTTCTTGGATCATATGCAAAGTCTGGATATATGCTATCCAAAACCTTCCCCACCTGACTGTCAAAGGGGTGAGAAAGGACATTAGAACCTCGACGGTTCTCATAGTGCCATCTTATTTCCTTTGCAATTTTTCCAGAAGTAAACAACCTTTGTAATCTAGGAATGAGAGGTGAGAACCACAATTTCTTTCTTGCAATGTTCTTTTTTCTTCCATGATATTTTTTGGGAGAAATATCTCGTCTCGCAACAAACTTTACATTGGGTTGCACTATCATCAGCTTTATAATACAAGATACACCCATTCACACAACAATCAATCTTCTTGTAATCAAGACTTAGTTTTGACACTAACTTTTTTTGTTTGGTACAAGTCTATAGGCATACGAGTGTCTTTTGGCTATGTCTTTCACATTGGTTGGGAGACTAAATTGTAGCTTTGTTGTGACACGTTAGTTGCTGCTTTAATACTCAATAATTACAAAGTTGCTGAAAGTTGAGATTCCTTTTCATGACCTTCCCACAAAGGTTGTTGTGCAGCACGCAGCAAGTCATAAAGTGCTCTTACACCAGGATTTGGCATCTACTCAACTCCTTTATCATAGTTATCCCAAAAGCTTAGCCCAGCTGCACCTATTACCATAGTCTTATATTAACTTTGTTGGTTACCAAATGGACCATGCTCAACATGTAGCGCATCTTCTGGCATTAGACAAATAGGTGAAGGATATTTTGGTCGTCTTTCGCCATAACTAGTCCATATATAGTAGTTTGGCATAAATCCTTTTTCATAAAAGTGTGTCTTCACCTCATCAAAACTTAGATATGACCTATATTTACATTTCACACATGAAAATCTAAGCTCTTTCGACGTTTAAGAATAAGGAGATTGAAATGCGTAGGCAAGAAACTCCTCAATGCCTTGCTCGAAATCCATTGTAACCCATTTATACTTAAATCAATTCTATTATATATCCATCTTCAATTTTTTAGAACCACCATTCTAATAGAGAAGAATATGATGTAAATAGTAAGAATCAAAGCAAGCAGGAAATATATATATATATATATATATATGTATATATATATATGGCAAAAGAAAACTACTGTATGAAAAACCTAAGATTAAACACCAATTAAAACAATGAGTAATTATATATATCCCAGATTTTTCGCAGTAATGTTTTCCTTTTAAATTGTACAATATATTACTACTTTAAATTCTTTATAGTTATTTAAAATCAATTAAAATGATGTGATTTGAAGCAACTTTATCATATATGTCATGCAATTTAAGGCGTGAGGCTTTTTTTAATGGGTTTATTACATCAATTTCTTTAAGACAATGAAATTGTACGTTGCCATGACCTGGTGCTTAAATATTACATAATTTTCATTTGAATTATTTGATATTATAGAATTTTCAACTTTATTGGTATGTATAGGTGATTTTCTTAAACTTTAAGCAAAATAGTCATGTTAGTAGTATGCATACATTAAAGGAAGTTGATTGACTTTTGGACTTGGTGGATTTTAGTATTGATTATTTCTTTGTTAATCTTTCGTGTGTGGGTGTTTAGATGCTTGGAACTATTGGCTTTTTGCAGCTTCTCTCTTTGTTCATCATGTGCATCCCATCAAGTGTGAGTAGGCAATTTTTTTTTTTGGGGTTGTGAGATACAAGAACAGCTGAAGTTGAATTCTCTGTATTTATCATTCATATACACTTAGAGAGTAAAAGTGACAAAAGAATAAGACTATTCTTTCAGCCAGCAAATAAGATTGTATTTGGGCTTGTATTTCATCTCTAAGTTAGTTTCTAGTAATAAACATTAAATGCTTTTTGACACAAGCATGCATGCATGTATTGACCATTTCCAGAAAAATCAACCTAAACAAAAGTATTAGAGAGGAGGAAAAGAGAATAAGAACCAGCTAGTATCACTTGCAGGACACTAATAATTAGAGAAAAAAAGAATAAGAATAATTGGGACTTCAAGCTTTTTGTTTGTGAGGTGAATCAATTGATCCTTTATTTTTATGAAAGACGATATGTTATTAACGGCGATAAGTTTACGCACAATACATCCCAAAATGTAAGCATCAAATAACTAAATCACACAAGAATCTATTTTGCACACTCTGAAGTTCATGGCAAAAGAAGACAAGTTAAATACCACATAATCAGAACACACAAAGCAATAGACCAAACATATAACAGTAGCAATATAACACTAATATATTTCAAGCTTAAAACTTTCATGACCTATCCAAAAATTTGTTTGACACTTAAAGACCCAATATAGCAAAATAGAGCAAGATTCCAAATTATTATAGATTCAATGAAGAAGCAGGAACAGAGGATTGCAATTCATATACATAACGTACCTTAAAGGACAAAGGTTGTGACAAGAAGAGAAATGCTAGTCTTGGAGCAAGAAAAGGTCTCACAGCTGTAGACTAAAACTTCCACAACCAACCAGAAAATGTATCCTCAACTCTCATCCATCCAATATAGCAAAAGGAAGTAAGGTTTGAAATCATTACCTATTGAATGAAAAAGAAAGATTAGGGGACCAAAAACCATATATAAAACTTACCTGGAAGGGACAACAGTTGCAAAGACAAGGAAAATGATGGTCACCGAAGACTGAAGCACAAACAGCAACATATTGAAACAGAGAAGAGGAGTGGAATAAGTCAGCGACACCAAGCTATTATTTGAGAAGGAGAGAAGTCGAGTGATTGCGTGGGGTTTAGAGCTGGACGAATGGTGAAAGACGACGATGAAGTACTGGAGGACGTCGAGCTTAATGGTGATAATGGAGGATGCCGTCACCATCAAAGCCTGATGGAGGAAGAAGTCATAGCTTTTGGTTCTCAGGTGAACGGCACTATCTGGTTTGGCGAAGAGGAGATGGACAGCATCGATGGTGTTGGTGGATGAAGGGAATTTTGATGTTGGTGTCAACGATGGAGGAGAAGGGAGAAGCTGATGACGACAATGAAGAATATGGATGAGCTCGACAATCAGTGGAGAAGGAGCTAGACGATGGTGTGCTACTGGCTAGGATTCCAGAGGAAGAAGCCGTCGTCCCCTCGTGCTGAAGAAGAAGTGATTTAGATAGTGCCCTAGCTCATTCCAAACGCAGCAGTTTTGGTTTTCACTGACTTTCTTCTTGTTTTTTTTTTTTAAATTTTTTTCCAACTTTTTAATTCCTTTCCAATATAATATAATAACCCAAAATCAATACTTTTGTCTTAGTGACCTGCAAAATAATGAGATAATAGGATAAAGTCCTAGAAATCATTATTTAAGAGCAAAGATAACACTATAACAAAAATACCCTTTTAAGCTCCATTTTAATAAACTCAATTTTTATTTCAAATTAACCATAATAAATGTAATTTAGCTCATTTTAGTTGATAAGAATCCCTTAAAAGATATAAAATAATAAGGTAAAATATGGTTTTATCAGTATTACAGAAGGAGGGCGAATCATTAGAAGAAAGAGAAGAGAAAAGTTAAATTTTTTTTTTACAAAAATAAAGTCTCAAATTAAAGGGGTTAATGGAGGGAAGGTGAAAATCTTTAGAGAAAGAATAAATTTAGCCTTCTAATAAATGAAATATGGTTTCTTCAAAAAAAAATTGTCAAAATTAGATTTTATAAATTATAAGTCTAAATTTAAGTCTTACTATTTTTCACACACAAGAACAATAATATTATATTTAGAATAATATTATAATATTTAGCTATTTTTTTCAATCTATATCTAGCCAACTTGATATTAATGTTGATATATTTTATTGGTATAATTTGATTTATATTAATTTGTATTAAAAGTGTGCTTTGACTATTAGATATGGTGGACTAACTTTAAACAAAAAAAAGTTAAAAAAAAAGGAGAAACTATTTTCATATTTACCATTTTTATTTACATAAGATTCTAATTTTTATTTATTAGCAATTCATTAAATATATGTTTTTTATGTTATAGTAAAACCTTCAAATTGTATTATCTGTAAATAGTTGTTAATATTAATTTTCTAATTTATGATCTATCAAATACCAGTTTAATTTTTTTTAATATCTTTTGAAATGATTTGATATTTTTAGTTTAAAAATGTCCATATATTTTTAAAAATAGATAAGATATTTATATATAATATAACATTGACAGTACCTAATTACATGAAGATGTGGAGTAAAAAGAAAGAATAACATTGTCATGAATAAATTACAAGAGATGATGCTTAGGATTCATGCATCTCTCACATTTTAATGAGGATTGGTATAAATCATTATCATGTACAATCAAATCATAAGCATTTTGTTAAATTAACAGGACTTGTAATTTTTTAATCAAAATTATCAAGTCTAAATCCTCAAAATATAAGTATGTTACATATTTGGTAGGAGAATTTTGTTATTCTTTACAGTTTCATGAAACTCAATACTAATAAGTTAGCAATATTGTTATACATTATTCCATGTAAATATTTGCTTTGTACCCATTATATTCTTCATATGATATTCTCTCAAGATTAGTAAAATCCAATTTTGTCTCTAATATTTATTCTTCTATATTATGATCAATAATATTCAGTTAATTTTCAAATAGTCACAATCAACCAATAACTCAAAAAATAATTTTTACTTTTTCATACTTAAGGCAGTCAAGTGCATAGATCGAATTATTATAGTTCACCAATACCTATAGGATTTCACTATGTCCCTTTACGAAATTTTCATTTGCTTCTTTCTTACATAATGGAGTCTTTTACCTCATAAAATATAGAACGACTACATTTTATAAGATCAAATATATAAAATTTCTAATAACACCTAATATCTTGGGGAAAAGAAATTAATATTTCTGATGGAATTAGCCAAAGACAACATTCCGTCAATAATTTTTGCTAGAAATTTGTCGAAACTTCCATAGTTAAATTTACTAACGGATTTCTCATGGAATTTGCCATGGAATTGCAATAGAAATTACCTACAGAATATTTACGTGACTAATTATGTCGGAATTATTTTACTGACGGAATTACCTGTAGGTAATTTTGTTGGTAATTTCTGTCACCAATCGGTGGCAAATTCTGTCGTTAATATTTTTTATGAAATTTGCCACAGTTTTCTGACAAAGTTTTGGGCCAGAATTTATTCCGTTGATGATTCAATGTTTTTTTTTGTGGTGTCTTTTTTTTTCCCCTCCCATCTGGCCCCCTCTCTTTTTTTTCCCTTCTCTCCTTCTTCCTTTCTTCTTCTTTCTCTTTCCTCCTTCTTTTCTCCTTCCCATTCTCAGCTTTTAGTTCATTTCTGTGTGTGAAAACTATGAGCAAGATGATCGGGCTGAAATTGAGTGCATATACTCATATTCGGGTTATCGAATGGATTATTGAAGTGTCCTCCTACGCATATTTTTAACTGGTGATTACCAGATATTTTCTGAATGGGAGGAGTTTGTTCTCGGAAGCAAGAGCAGGACATTGAAGACAGTCCTCAAGAAAGCGTTTCGCGAAAATATCAGAGATGTTGGGTTTCCATGTTTTATATGAGGTGTTTGCTTACATAGCAACATGTGGGAAATTTGGGTTCCTTAAATGATCATTGATGCTCTGTTTGGCGTGTGAAGGAATGACAAACGGTTATTAATTAGGCTGTGGGTTAAGTAAGATTTTGTTTCCTCCATTACTCCTCCACTATATCTTTAATCTTATAACTCATTTCCATTCACATTCATGTGACTTATTACTCACTATCTATCATTTAAATATAAGTGAAACCTATGTGTAAAACTATGCCTATAAATAGGGCATATCATTGTATTGTGATGCAAGTGAAAGAAAGTGAAGTAAGTGAAGAAATACAATACCATTCTCTTTTTTTTGTTTATATCTTTTCTCTAATCTACTTTCTTTCTTGTTTAATTTTATAGTCCTCCGATCCTTAATATAAGATCTAATTGTTAAGCTGATTTTGGTTCTAAATATAAGACATATTTATCATATTTATCAATTTTTTTTAAATTACCTCTATGGATACTTCCTTAACCATAATCAAATAAGAAATAGAGAGAGGATATTAAGAAAGATAATTATGATGTTTTAGGAAAAACATGTCATATTTCTTATAATTAACTAACTTACCTAAGTTCTTTAATCTAATCAAATTAGTTAAATATGTCTTATATTAATGACCGAAATAATAACATATTATTAGTTTTTACATTTCTTTGCACTGGTGCCCACCACATCGGGAGTCCTTGGAACATCGGCTAACCGGAACTACACGCTTATTGGCACAAAATTGCTATTATTAGATTGGACAGATTCAATTATTAAAAATATCAAATTAACTCTAAAACCTCTTGATAAATATTCTGTAGTTATTCTTGATTAGATCTAACAATAGTTAATTATAATCGCTAATACTTAAAAATTATATAGTTGAATTAAAAAAAATTGGGATTTTAATATGGATTTTTTTTCTACATTTATTTTTTTAAGAAAAACTCCAAGTCTAAAGTGATGAAGTATATATAATTTGATTCATGGTATTAATACCGATTTTATTCTGTTAAATGGAAGACACCATAACCCATTACTAGTGGCTACATTTTAAAAGGTGCGCCTCTGTTTTAATTTAAGCAACCAAATAGCATAGTTACAACCATCTTTAATTTATAATTAAATTTGAAAGCCCATGCATGGTTAGCAAAACAAGTAGCAAATGTTGTTGTTATTCTGACTTTCTTGAATATAATTAGGCCAAATTAAATGTACAAAAACAAAGATGAAATAAGAGAGAAGATATGTATATTGAAAAGATAAAAGATTAATAACCATTATTATTAATATCACCTAAATCATCATTAAAAAGTATAAAAAAAGGCGACCTAGTGCTCAAATCTCTCCCTAGGGTTATCAGGATTTGAATCTCTAGGTCACATGAGAGCAATCTTACCATTACTCCAAGAGTCACATTTATATGAATATATAAAATTTAGAGAAAACTAATTTGGAAGTTCTTATAGTTTTTTTGGATTTTGAATTAGGTCTCTACACTTTTTTTTTTCTTTTTATCGACTCCTTAAACTTTTTACTGTTAGGCGTGTTAATTCTTCTTGTTAAATAAGTGCTAACACTGTTAAATATGTCTGTTAAAATGCCTGAAGCATTTACTTTTATCTCATTCCACTCCTTCGCTCATGCCTCAATATCTTCTCCTTCACCATCCAACATTACCGCTATTTGGAGCGTCCAATATTTGAGCTGTATCTACTTCTTTGGTCAATAAAAAAGTTGTTCGGTCTTCTATTTTCATTGGTTTGCTCTTTATTTTTGTTCGTGAAAAGGCCATTGATTCTGGGCAACATTGTGGATATATATTGATGGTAGGTTAGTTGCTATGAAGGAAAAGCCTGGCATTGGTTTAGTAAGCATTTCAACCGAGCACTACTGTGCTGGTGTTACCCAAATAAAGATTTTTTTAGAATAATGTTATTATTAATCAAAGGAGTACATTGATTTGTTCTCAACACAAGAAAAACACCTTTAGAGATAGTACTCAATATAATAAAAATCTGGATATAATAATAACACTCGTGAGGTTGATGATTTTCATGAGATTCTCTTGATCATCCAATTGGCCTTTCTCAATCTAACAATATGTGCTTTGCTCTTGCACATAATACTAATCCAACATCCCACCTTCAATTATAGTTCTCCTTATTAGAGAAATTTGAAAAGCAGTAACTATAGCAATGTTGCATTTGTTTCATTGCCCGCAGATATCAATGCCTCAAAATAACTCTGTTTTTCTTTTTTTGATACACGGGAAAGTTAACTCTGTTTTTTTATTACTCAAACAGGGGCAAGCTTTATGACTTTACAAGCACCAAGTAATTATTTTCATTTTGTACAATTCTAATTTC